CTTTGTAGCTCTCAGATGGGTGTGAAAATGGCCAAAACTTTCCTGAATTACTACAGCTTGAACTTAAACAGTAGCTTAAAATACAAAATCTACTAATAATTTCAATTTTTAATAGCTACCTTCTTGAACCAAATTTTAACTAGGAAAAAAAAGTGTACATTAGCAATATTTTGTAAGTTGCCATTTCTTTTATTTCCCAGAGATACTTGTATTTTTTCTGAACTAGGACTTCTGAAAGCTCTCAGTTGCTAGGTATTCCAAACACCCCACTAAAAGATTTTTTTCCCCTATCTGCAAAATGAGTAAGCAACCAACTAAACTTAGCAGAAGAGTTTTTACCTCAAAGCCTACCTTTGCATCATTCAGTGGACATCCATCAGAAGCAGACATGACACTTGGATTTACAATGTAAACGTAACAAATGACAACACTTTGACTTCCTGAGAAAGCACAATACTACAAAATGGACAGTTTCCTAGGCATCAGAAGGCAAGTTACACTTTCCCAGAAAATGTTACCTCTGATTTTCTTTCTGCCCCTTCTAATGTCCCAGTGTCCATCCTTCCTGGGACAGCTCAGACATATCTGTTGTCATTGCATTGCAAAGGTCCCATATTGTTGTTTCCTTATTGCAAGGGTTTCATACCTCCTTGATGTTTCTCATAGGCAGCTCCTCTAGGCACTGACTCTTCCTTCTTCTCACAGCAGCCAAATGACTCCAGTTCCCCTCAGCCACCCAATCCACTCTTTTATAACACTCTTCTGATTGGCTACAGCTGTGGCCTGTTAAAGTCAGGCCTGCTCCTAATCTTTAATAATTAGCCCAGCCGCAACTCCTTAGGGGTAAGATTACTTTCTATACTACCTTTATTTTCTTATATTCTATCCCCCTACACGTATCCTCCAAGAAATGGCTAATTATTCTACTGCCATCCTGAAACAACACAGAGATAACCACACAGCTCCTTTGACATTTCTCTACCATCGACTGAGAAGCTGCACTCACTCACAGGTGTGATGTAGATTATAACACACCCAGAGAGATTCTTTATGTTCTCTGACAAATATGAATACAATAAATATTGATTGAGAACTGCCTGACAGCTCTCCTAGAAACAAATGTTTGAAACGTTTAGAAGTGAAAGGTGGACACACAGAGCTGCCAAATGACTGATTAGTTTTGTAGAACTAGAACCCTCTGAGCTTATCAGCAGAATCAACTATGCAATGATATTGAAAGCATCCTGTTTACACAGGAAAATGGGCTGTCATTGCCTTCATCTTTCTTATAGGTAGTCAGGAAAAAGGATTAATTCTAACTTACTTCCCAGAGCAGTTATGGACTCACCACTACTGGAGGTGTTCAAGGCAGGGCTGCATGGAGCTCTGAGTAACCTGCTCTAGGGGAAGTTTTCTCTGCCCATGGCAGGGGGGCTGAAAATAGATGATAGTTAATACCTCTTCCAACACAAACCATTATATGATCCTGTAAAACTTGATGTTAAGAAAGGTTAATTAAAATTTTAAATTCCATTCACTATTTGGATTCTGGACAAGAAGTTAAGGCATTTCTGCAAGAAAAAGAAAACATTTGCCCATGCAAAGCCAAGAACATCAATTTTAGAAAAGGAGCAGGGCTTCAGTGATGACATGACAACATATCACTTAGAAGTAAACAAAAGCATTAATCATCAGATTTCAGAAAAGCAAGAAACTATGTTCTGGTACTGAAAGTTAATTAACATTTAAGATAGCATTGGGATTTGACTCCCAGTTTTCAAAAAAAAGAGTTCAAAATGAGTTGATTTAGAAATAAAATAATTTTTTAAAAATTCCAACACACAACTCCCGAACACTGATACAACAGCATAAAATTCAGTGCAATCAAAACCTGCCATGTGTATGGGATAGGAAGAAGCTGTTGTTATGGGTTTACCCTGGCTGAGTGCCAGACCCCCACCAAAGCTGCCCTATTGCTCCTCTCTGCAGCTGAACAGCAGAGAAAAAACATAACTAAGGGTTCATGGGTTGAGATAAGGACAGAGAGACATCACTCTCCAGATACCATCACAGGCAAAACGGACTCAAATTGGAAATAACTGCATTTCTACTAACAAAATCAGAGCAGGATAATGGAAAGTAAAATAAATCTTAAAAAAAAACATCTTTCCCCCACCCTTCCCTCATTCCCAGCTCTACCTTTGCCCCCCAAAGTGGTGCAGGGAGAAACAGAATGGGAGTTATGGTCAGTTCATCACAAGTTCTTCCTGATGCTACTCAGGGAAAAGAGATCAGCGTGAGGTTCCTCCCACAGGAAACAGTTCTCCATTAACTGCTCCAACGTGGGTAACACTTCCATACTGTGCAGCCCTTCAAACACAGCCTGCTGCTCATGCAGTCCATGAGGCCCCGTGGACTCAAAAGTCCTGCAAGAAAACCTTGCTCCAGTGTGGGCTCCTCTCTCCATGGGTCTCCTACAGGGTCCCTCCCAGGCATCCACCTGCTCCACTGTGGGTCTCCTCCACAGGCTTCAGGTGGATCTCTGCATCCCCATGGTCCTCCATGGGCTGCCAGGGCACAGTTCCTTCACCATGGGCTGCAGGGGAATTTCAATTTTGGTGCCATGAGCAGCTCCTGCCCCTCCTTCACTGGCCATACTTGTTCCTCTCACATATTCTCATTCTGCTCTTCTCTGGCCACAATTGCATCCATACAATAACTTTTTTTCCCCCTTTTTAAATATGTTAACACAGAGGCATTACAATCATTCCTGACTGGCTCAGCCTTGGGGGACGTGTCTGTCTTGGAGCCACCAGGAATCGGCTTTGCCAGACACAGGGAAGCATCTGGCAGCTTCTCACAGAAGCCCCCCATGTCCCTGCTACCAAGACCTGGCCACCCAAACCACATACAGCTGTCCCACCCAGGAAAGATTAGTGTCTTTTAGGCTTTTAACCAGTATTGAAAGTGGTGCAAGTCTGAACATGCATCACTTTTTTTTCCCCTCTCTCAAACACTAGCACATGACAGAGCTGCCTGTCAGTTCACACTATACCAAGCAATAAATACAGTCAAATCCAGAGCATCTGACAACCATGGGGGCAGCAAAGCAATGCCATGGACCACAATAATTCTCTAGGCTTCATGTCATGCCTTTTTCCATCATAGGCCCTTTCACTCAAAATTGATCGCACCCAGCATTTCCAAAATTAGCTGCTGTAAAAGAGATGGTAGGGGTGAGTATTTAAAGAAATCCTTTGGAACTGAGTAAGTTATGTTCTGCTCACATAATACTTTCATTCAAACATAAAATCAAACCATGTCATCTATTAATAAATACATAGGAAACTCACAGGAATCATTTATCTAGCTCTGGAGCACACCTTACAGTCTTAGGATTCCAGAGTTACTCTGATTTCAAGTGTCACTGTAGTAAATACACATAAAGAGCCCAGTGCAAGATTGTTTGTCCTAGTACAAAAACAATAACAACAAAACCAAAACAAAAATTAAAACCAACCAACCAAACAAAAACCAACAACAACAAAACAAACAAATAAACCAAAACAAAAGAAAACCACATCTCAGTACTGAAATGCTTTAGAGGCTGCATAAGCTTATTGACCTTGCTTACTCCCAGTAATGACAGCAGGGCTGCCTGGTTTCTACCATTCACCTGAGACCACTAATGCAATCAAATTGTCCAAGGAAGCAGGTACAAAACATGTGACTGCTCACTGCTTCTCTACACTGAATATCCAAACAGAGCCAGCCAACCCCAAGATGAGCTGCATGTGAGTTCGTGTTATTCCTCTAGGAACCTCCAATCCAGAGTGTCCATGGAAGAATGTCTAAGCAATCTGAAGGCAGTGCCACTAATACAAACACCATACCTGTCTGTTTTGCATAGACAATTCAATACCAGCTCTAGACATATATAGCATATATTTATATACATAAATGACATGCATACACACACATTTTTAAAACAAAACACTGCTATTTTGAGTATTTTTCTAGTGCAGCTCTCCTGAGGAAATATTGCTGACTACTTTCACTATGTAAGCAAGACCTCACAACCATGAACACAAACTTTCATTGCAGCAGTTAATTTACAAAACTTTTTATCCTATCTCTTAGAAAGACAGGGGAAAAGTAGATAAATTAAATAATAAAAAATAACAAATCACCATAAAAGTCCTGGAAATAGTGCCTTCAAAATAAAAAAAATTATAAACAGAGAGCATGTGCATGCAGAGGAAGAGAAGGAAATAACACCTCAAATGCATTTGTAACACAAGACTTCCCCTAATGTTTCAGATACCACTAAAGAAGAGCCCTGCTGAAACAGTGAATGAATTTATTTCTGACATTCAGCTACATAGAGGGGTGGTGCCTGTGTGCATGTGTCTATTGCAAGGTCGGAGAGTTAAACCAGTGTAAAATTAGAATAGCTCAAAAATTCCTTTGTTCTTCTAAATCTCTTCACTGTGAGTACAACGCAAGATCAGATCTAGTGTCCATATACTGTCTTACCTTTTGTTTCTAAAAATTAACAAGTGATGCTTTTAAATATGCCTAAGGCACTGCAAGATGACCCTGTGCCTCACCCAAAAGAGTGGCTGTGACTCTCCCCCATGCAGCCCCTCAGTGCATTAAGGAGAAAATTAGCAAGTTCAGCGAGCTCTGTTATTTTTGAAACAGCAAACAAAAATAATAAAAACAAAGCATTCATATTGAAATCTAATTATTCTTAATAAATGTTCTGGTTTGTAAATGCTGGATCTAGGGGAAGCTCCTCATTTACTATAGCCCTAAGCAAAGTTAAAGCTGCAGTGCTGTGAGAAAGGAAATGATACCGAGAAGGCACATCCTACCTTCTTTTATCTTCCAGAAAAATACAATCTATCCACCTTCAGATATTAAAAACAACTTACTAAGTCACCTATGAAGATCTAAACTTCATTGTAAAAACTGCATTAGTTTAATAGAATTCTGACCTGTGCTATGCAGCCATCCGAAATCTTGCCAATGATCTTTTCAACACCACCTTCAATAAACACAGTCAGCAAATAAATATCCAATAAACAGCAGTTTAAACAGCAGTCAGGTTAACCTTTCCCCTGTCTTTAAAAAATGCCAGACTCTTCAGTGTTTGCTCAAGACTCTTCTTTTACCAACGTTCAATTTGAATGAGCCGGTGCAAACGCACTGTTCATCCCCTCATGAGAGGAGGATGCATTTATGTGAAACATGAGGAGAATGCCTAATGCTGAAACATTCTCTCTGCATCCTCAATGAGATTTTATTACAGGGCTCTCTTTCTTCTGCCCTGGCGTGTGTCAGCATGCCTGCAAGCATTCTACTTCTGTTATAGCCAGACACTATCTATGCACTTGTATTTATGTTCGGTATACACACACACACCCCCTCTATCACATGTGCTTTATGACCCCACTGGAGTTACTCCAAAAATTATCAAACCTATCCAAGTGATAATAGGAAGCAATGACATTAAAATATCTTCTGATAATAATTCATACAGCTAACTTTCTGGCTATTTAAACTCTTTTGGCTTCCAAAACACATTAAGGGCTTGAATTTTCAAATGTGCCTAAAGGTAAGTCTATTTCGTGAACTAGCTCTGTTGTCCTCAGAGAAAAACCTGGCAGTGCAATTAAAGTAAAAACAAGTTTTTAATTAAAAATGGTTATTTTTTCTGTTGTATCAGAGATCCATATGAAAAAATGTATAATGTCTCAACTTGTCAACAAAATGAGTTGAAATCTGTATTAAAAAAGAGCCAAAAAAACAAGGGAAAAAACCCAAACAAAACTACAAGACCATAACAAGCTTCCTAGACCCTGCAAGTCTTTAAAGAACTAGTGTAACTGCAATTTTTGGTTAAAGAAATAAGACTTATGAGAAGAATGGCTTTTACCAAGATCTGTGAATATCTTGGGCTGTGACAACTAGATTTAACCAGCTTTGATAAAAAATAGATGAGCCTGGCAAACATTCAGTTTTTTCTAGTCCTCCACCTACATCGTTCTACAGTTCCTGAGGATACATTATTTATATTTCAGGAGCATTCTCCACGAGGTAATCTCCTTCTACACCAGTAGGAAAGAAGTCTCTGTTGCAAAGATCATTCATTCCAAGACAGCAAGGAAGTAAAAAGTTATCATTTTAAAAATTCAGTTTCCTAATCATAATAAAAATGCATGTTACAAATAATGGGACAGAGAAGCTGCCATTCTAAGTGAAAATTTCTTTGAAATATGAAGTTCAACAAAAGTGCTATCTGTGGCAATATCTTTCACTATTGATTTGATAAAACAATAAAAGCTCAATAAAATGAAGTCTTAAAAATACATCTTGATAGGTCCTGTATCTTCCTTGCTTTTCCCATTTCTTTGTTTTTCTTTATTCTTTTCTCTATATAGTTATTATGCACTCCTATTAACACCATATTTCTCATTCAGTCACTATGCCCTTACTAAAATACTGTCTCTTTTATACCACTTTTGCTGCAGGATTGATCCCTGGAATTTTCTGGAGTGTCTGACTGTTTGGTTGGGGGTGGGGGAAAGGGGATTTACACCACATATCCCCACTCACTGCCCTGGACTGACCACCCCCATTGCTCAGCCCTGCAAAGAAGGGCAGAAGTTTCAGAAAGGTCTTGCACTGCTGGAAATTAGATTTTCTTAATAGCTGCAATACAACAGGGCATGTTGTGGTGAGTTATTACAAAAATCATTAGGGGCTTTATGGGCTCATATGCCCAACTGAGAGTACCCCCAGTGTGATAAAATTATTCTGTTTAAATTCTTTATGATCCCTAAAGTTTATCAAGCAAGACTGTTGGTAATTTCAAAAGAGTAGAAAGACTCACAGCTCCAACCAAATTTGTTTTAGAAAACATTCAGCAGTGGAGTAAGATGATAAAAAGAAAATATTATGGAAAATTTGTGAGAGTCTTCCTATTCTATCTACTATTGTTAGAGCCATGCCATTATCTACTTATCCTTTTAGTGGATAAAAGAAGATGACATCATGGAAAAAGAGCAATCTACCTTTTCTGGAGTAAAGACAAGGAACTTAATATCTTTCTGGTTAATGCTCAATGCAATGTGCAGAGGAAGAAAAAGACATGATAACTGCATTACAGAAAAATTATAAATTTGAGAACATAATTTTGATAACTTAAGGTATGGCAAATTAATGCTCTCCAGATAATTATATTAATTGTAAGTTACAGACAGAAATATTACAATTCCAAATAGAGAGACAGAGTAATAACCTATCAGCTATTCTTGCATGAACCAAGATTTAATTTTTCTACCTTCTGGCTTCATCCTGAGTTTTTAAGCAATACATGCTGATGTTGGCAAAGGCTGATATTAGGTTAATTAGTTATACCTAATATGCATAAGTGTTTGCTGAACCAGTCCAGCCCTTTCACTGGCATCTTTTTTCCTCCCCTGTATTACTGATTTCAGTTCCTGACCCACAGTGAAGAACTAAAATATTTCCCTTCTGTATAGGCAGAGTTGCTGATTCTGTGTACACTGTACCTTCATACTCAAGGAAATGCTCAGTTGGTGGGGAAACAGAGCATAGAAGGCAACCTAGGTAGCACAGAGATTCCAATTTTTGATCATTCAACATTTAATCACTTATTAGTGATTTCCAGTATCAGCCAGTATCACTTTTTTTTCCTATTCAAAACAGAGTGCTGCAAGGTAACAATTCCCTCTTCAAGTACAGGGGAATTTGTAGGGGTTTTGTTATGGAGGTTGGGTGAAAGCTTAAGGCATCCATTTATCAAACATTCTGTCCCTCCAAATCAACAGGAGAAAGAAAACAAAATCAAACCAACCCACCTCCCAAAAAAAAAAACAAACAACCCAAACCCCACCCACCAAAACAAAAAGCCTAAACACATTAAAAAAAAAATAAAAGCAAGGGGAAAAAAACAACCAAAACAAACTTAGAGAATAAAAAGATACCCTTCTTTCCTCTCTGAAATAGAAGGCAGGCAGACTGAAGAACTTACATTCCACCTGGTGGCAATTAGATATGCTGAAACCTACTGACTGCAATACAACTTAATTAACATTATAGACATAACGTGTAAGAGGGAAAAAATCTAAGAGCTGAAACAATGTCAGCTCCCTGGTAGTTCAATATTTGATTTGTTCATTTTTATTCTCAGCTAAGAATTGACCCTCTTTCTAGTATGTCCCTCACTGAATAATTCCAGGAGAAGTAATAGGTGTTTTGTATTCAGATCAAGACTTTTCTATTTTGCCTACTGAGGAAACTCATCATTTCAACTGCTTTACCTTTAATCAAACCAACACAGATGTGCTGTGGGAGGCAATGTTCCCAGACAGGGAACTGGAAGCACCACCCAGTGCACAATCCAAGAGTTGTTCTCTTATGCCAAGTTTCATTTGCCCCATTTCAACCAACTGAGTTAAATCCTAAAGTCCTGTTTTTTTCAATTGGCTCTCAATTGTAAGTAAAACAGGGACTAAACCATATCAGGCTCTCAACCTCTGGCAGACCACTGTGCTGGTTCTTTGCAGAAGGCCCCACCATGTCCCAGTTTAATTTCAGGTCACCACGCACCAACAAGTAAATAACCTTTATATTCTTATTTGTACCACCCAGTTATTCCACCCAACACAGCAGTTTCTGCATATTTGTCTGCAGAAACTCAAACAATGATGCTGACTGCCAAGAGTCGCCATCCAGTTAACAAGAAAACAAACTCAAAGAATAAATGTACTGATGATTGATGAGAAACCTTGACAACATATATAGCTAGCAATGGAGTGGAGGAAAATTCAAACCATTTTCATGCTGCAGAGTAATACCCCAAAATATCAATTTTACACAGAGATTTGTAATTCAAAGATCACCAAATCACTGCTTAACTGAGTAAATGCTCTGTCACATGTAAACAGTTCTTCAAAGAGGTGATCTTGGAAAACACTTTATACTAAGTATGAAGTAGCAGAGAAAACTAAACTCAGAACTTTGTTAATCTAAATTAATCTGGTTAATTCCAATACAGCCAATAGAAGTTCTCTATCTGGGGGTATGCAGCTTTTTAGCTCTGATTTAGGATGGGGTGATTGCTTGAAAACATGAAGAAGAGACTGGGTGACAGCACAAACCAATGTAAAATGAAAACTGGAAGGGGACATTTACAGTTCCATTTGTGAGTTTAAAGACTGGAAATTTAAAAAGCTTACTCTGTCACTAAAATATCACTGGATTTCAACAGGACCGAGACATCTTATTCTGAAACACCACAGACTTTAAGTTCCACACATATTTTCCTATCAATAAATAGAACTATTCAGAAAGTCACTCTACCACTGTCCATCTAATCAAATCACACAAGTCTTTGGAAGCATATTCCTTCCACAAGACATAATAACTCTATTACTTCACTTTACCCAAGGTAAGAGTCCAATAGAGATGAGAAGCTGGCTGTTAAGGAGTTATAAATCAAATGAAAAGCAAGAGAGATGACAGCCTTGTTTCCTATAGTCCTGATTCATAAAGCTGCCAGCAGTGGTGCTACAATAACTCACATACACCAGGATTTTCCACTTTGACATTGAGTATCCTGAAAATTGACTCATCTTCCTCTGGCCAGTTGTTGAGGGAGAGAGGGTTGTGTTCTGGGTGGATTTTCCTTTTTTTTCTTTTTGGGTTTTTTTTTTGTTTGGTTGGTTGGTTTGGTTTGATTTGGTTTTATTAAATTGCATACATGATTTACATAACAAAATGTAATAACCTTTTTGTATTTCTAACTCAAGTTTTTCTGGTCTCACATCTCTTCAGGCAAAAAAAGCCTAAAAATTTTAGATTTTGAAGTCTGAGAAAACAAAACAGCCAAAATTTCATAAACAGAAGTTTTGGGGAAGTCTCACTTAGGAGGACTGTTAAGGGTGTGAAAACACCGAAAGGGATTTACGCACAGATATTTTTTAACATCCATCTAATGTTATAGGTTCACTACCACCCCAGATCACCAGCCTACCTGCACATTAGTAGTAAAGTAGAATTGGAAAGAGGATTT